TCCGGTGTGTCCACTTCTCCCCAGTTTTGTGTCATCTGCAAACTTGGACAGAGTATACTCACTCCCTCGTCCAAGTCACTGATGAAGACATTGAAGAGCATCGGTCCAAGGACTGAGCCCTGCGGGACCTCACTGCCCACACCCTTCCAGGTCAATACCGACCCATCCACTACGACTCTCTGGGTACGACCCTCTAGCCAATTCGCCACCCACCGGACTGTGTAGTCATCCAAGTCACAGCCTCTTAACTTGTTCACCAGTATGGGGTGGGATACCGTATCGAAGGCCTTCCTGAAGTCTAAGTAAACGACATCAACCCCTATTCCTGTGTCCAGGTGTTTTGTAACCTGGTCATAGAAAGAGACTAGATTAGTCAGGCATGATCTACCTGCTATGAACCCGTGCTGGTTTCCCCTCAGCATAATTTTTCCTGCCAGGCTCTCGCAAATGTGAGCCTTGATAATTTTTTCAATTACCTTCTTGAGCATCTTTACAGTGCTTCACCAATACTTGACTGTCAGTCATTTCTATACCTCAGTTACTATGACCACACCTGAGTAAAGGTTTTTAGCTAGAGCTAAAAACAGTCTGTAGACCTGTGAAATGAAAGAGAGACATTACCAGGAATGGCTAACAGACATCAAAACTGCAGAGATAGTTTGAATAGCAGAACATCAAGACCACCAAAAATTAGAGGGTCATTAACACCTGTAGTGAGAAACTATGAAACAACTGACTCTCTCAGCAATGCCTGAAGAGAAAAATGCCACTGCCCCTCTCAGACAGTTGGTTTTAAAGTTTTGGTGGGGCAGGCATCAAAAGGAGGATACAACTGCACACCCCTGCATCCACCCCTGGCAGTGTGTAATGCAGTCAGTGATATGAATACAAAAGGTGGTAAGGGACAAGAGAGAGGAAGGAGGATGTGGGGACAGTGCTGGGAGAGGCATACAAGCAAACATGCTCAATTAATCCAGGTAATGGGATAAATTAATGACTTCAAACTAACAGGCTAACCATCTCTCATCTCTTCTCTTCCAAACAAGAAACATGCAGGTTAATGAACTTGTGTGATATCAGGACCTATAAGTATAGGTCAGAGGTTCTCAACTTGTACTCTGCAAACAGATTTCAGTAATTCCCTTCTGCTTCTGAGTACAGGGTCCCCAAACTTTTTTCTTTGTTTAGTTCTGTTTGGCAATCACCAGTGACTATTATTTATTTGTCTCCTTTGAAGAAACTGGTTGCTAGGATCCAATGGTCTAAGTCTAAAGAAAATGGAATTTGTTGTTTTCAAAACAGGCATAAAAGCATAATACCTTGATGCAAAAGAAGGGATAATTGCTTGGCTACCCCAGTAATTCCTCAATTACATGGAACTTAAAAAGGAAATCTCACAAAAAGCAGAAACTTGGTCATATTCCCAAGATGAATATAAAAGGTACAGTAAGAGCACCTAGGGAGAAAAGCAGGAAGACCAAAGTACAAATTGTGATATCACCAGGGACACAAGAGGCACAAAATATTTTTTAAAAATCCCAACCCCCCACAAAATCAATAAAACAGCAAAACCAGAATATTACCAAAAATTAAATAATATTCATTTTTTTCCAGGACCACTGAGCCTACAACCTAGTAAACATCATACTGAAATACAGCACTATTCAAACTTGCTCTGTTTGCTGTTCTTACCATTATCATTGTAAATAGCAGCTTTGGCTATTTTCTCAACAACATCTTTTTTTCTGGCTTCTGAAATGTTTAGCAAACAGGCAGCCAAATGAAAGCTCACTCTTGTGGAAGACATTTTCACGCCCTGAAACAGAAGCAGAAAAGTACTTTCTTTCTTCTTCCATTCTCATATTTACACTTTTGTTTGTGGTTTTATTTCTGAACTTTTAAAAATCCATATGCGTGTAAAATAAATAATTATTTGGTAACTAGGCAACCAATGATCAAATTATCACCTCAGTGCCTTCTTTTCAAAGAAAAACATGAAATCTTGTGAATTTTTTGAGATGCTGACAAACACTGAAACAGAGAGGTAATGCTAGTCTGAAATCAGGGTGAAAGCAAAGCAGATCTGTACCTTATAGGCTAACTAAATCAGAGATACACAACATAAGGTTTGTAAGCAGCGGACTTACTTTATCATGCACACATCAAACCTAGAAAACCTAGAACAATAATTCAGGACATGAAGAACTGGAATCTATTATGAAATTATTTGTCTCTTGGCGAAAGTGGGATGGCAAAGGAGGTCAGTATCTTAACACCTGTTTGAATGAACAGAAGGCTAAAGATTTTATTTTAATAGGAAAATATTCTGCTTTTTTTAACCAGACACAATTTAGTTGTGTGTCCAGTAAAACAGATGCCATCTTCCAGAACAGAACTGCCTTCATTTTAGTAACAGGGATAATAATTTTCTGCATCTCCAAATTCTGCTCTCAGATGTTGCCTAACCTGCAAACCATTCTGCAAAATTCATGAAGCACTTGAGCTTTTTTGATGAGTAGGACAAATGTCAGTTACTATTATGGCCTCTCCTAAGCAGTCATGCCAACAATGTTTGCGTAATGGACATCTATCTGCAAACAAAATATGTATTTCATACAAGGCAATAAACGTGATATCTTTGTTTAGAACCAGTAACTGCCATTAGCAGCTTTACGGTGATTTATGAACTCTGTAAGAAGTTAATTGCTAACTTGGAGAAACACCAGACATTGGGGGTAAGAACGCAGATTTCCCATTACAGAAAACAATCAAAACTCTTTACATATAAGTTAATATCTTGATTGTGCAAAGTGACCTATGCAATTGGATCCTTGTACCTTCATGGAATTGCACTGAAGTTCATGGGATGTAATGCTTCTGTCAGGATTTGCCCATACTGATTAATTTGAAGGATTGGGGCCTACATAATTAGGGGGGGGTGTTTAAGTTAGAATTGAATGCAGTGATAAAGTCCCTAACCCTTTGTGGATAACTATGTTAAAAAAAGAACTTCTTTAGAGGACAGGCAATTTTTGTCATTTGTTTTTATTATGTTTATATATTTTAAATGGTCTTATCTGGCATTTTCCCAGCAAAATGCATTTGGAACTGCCCCAAGAAGTACAAAAATAAAATTTAATTTCTCCCTTTGTTTACAAGTTTTGATTCCCCCTGCACCAAGACTGCTCAAAACTGGCAATAAAGGCAGTCTACCTGCAAGCAAGAAGTGAAATAACCAGTTGCATGGAAGAATCGGAGGCGACTGTGTTTACCTAGCATCCCCCTATTTCCGCTCACTGGAAGTAATAAAACTGAGAGAACTGGTTGCAAAAAATCCATTCATCCAGAGATTTGCATGCAATAAAACTCTAAGGTTTACATCCAGCCTGAGTTAGTAATACTTTGAGCATCTATTGGGCATTCATTCCATCCAAGGATCTCATAACACATTATAAACATTAATTATTTGGGTCACAACACTGCAAACATTTAAGAGTATTTAAATGTACACAAATAGTTCCATCTTACTCAATGGACATTCTCAGATAAGTAAGGTTACACGTGTGTTTATATGATCATAGCCTGACAAAGCCGTGAGAGACAGGGAGGTATTAACGTCCTCTTTTAATGGGTGGGAAACTGAACCACAAGTAAGGGTAAGAGACTTACCTAAAGTTATGCTGAAAGCCAACAACACAACAGGAAACAAATCTGTCTCATTTTGCCAGCTGATGTGTGTACTATGTGCTGTCGCCTGAAGAAGGGTGTTTGTACCCAAAAGCTTGCAAAGAACAATCAATTTTTCCAACTATTTAGTTGGTCTAATAAAAGATAGCACATTTACCAAAAGAACCTTGTTGACCAGTCTTCTGAGATTTTATTACGCATCTTTTATTAAAGTCTTCACTTCTGGAATCAAGTTATTGTGAGAATCATGACTTCAATTTTAAAACAGTTCCAAACTCTGCATAAGCACAAAGAAATGCTTGGAATGTAACCTAGCTGTTCAAAGGGCTCAGCAAACATAAAGCAAATTTTTTCAAATGTCATTTTTAAAGCAAAATTCCTATGATTTTTTGGCCAAACTCATGATTTGGGGTTGGGATGTGACTCTTGATTTTTTAATGTTTGGGACTTGACACTGGAAAACATGAGAGGTCTAAGGCAGGTCAGCTCCAGATCTCAATTCAAGCTTCCCCCAGGTCAAATGGTACTTTGGAGCTAGGACCTTAACAGGGAGGACAGGGTGAGGCTGATTTGGATGCTAGCCCTGTACAGGCTTGCCTTACTACCTTGCACAAGGGTCCAATCTTGCATTTCATGAGGGGACCGCATACCAACTCCAGGACAAGATGCCAGGGAAAGGAATCCAAGCCCCAACAAGGAGGGATCTTCCTATTGCTGCTCAGGCAAGGGCAACTTGCCAGGCTTGCTCAACAGGGCAAAAGGCCAGCCCAGGTAGCTGCAGGGCCCCCTCTCCCCTCCTCAAAATCTGCTCCCTCCTCCTAGCTGGGTCCCAATTGCACACACCCAACCTGCAGCATGGGGATTCCACCAGACTCAGCCAGCAGCCTCCTTCCTGCCTTCTGTCTCTAGAAGATTCAGCTGCCCTGGGGAAATGTGATGTTGCTAGGACTGGTAGCCAGAACCTATCACACCTCCCCATGCTCCCCCATCTCCTAGCTGTCTGCATGTCCTGTGCTAACATGGGTAGACTAGAGCTCTTGTTTGTGTGAGGTCTCTGCAGGCATCAGAATAGTTAATAGCAAGCGATTATTAACCCCAGCCTAGCTTTGTACCCACACTGGGAGTTCAGGGTACATCTACACATGCACAGTTATTTTTAGCCACTACCAATAGGGATCTCCCTACTACTGCTGCTCAGGCTACGGCAACTCATCCAGCTTGCTCAACAGGGCAAAAGGCCAACCCAGGTACTCAGCTGTAGGAAATGAACAAATAGCTCAGACAGGGAAAAGGCATGTAAGCTAATTGGAGATATATATGCTTTGGAACAGGGACTGTCATTCTATTACATGAGTGTAGAGCAGCTAACAAAACAGAACCTTAGTTCCTGATCAGGGCTTTCAAGCTGTGCCTCAATAAAAATACTAAATTTTAATAGGCACTGCCAGGTCTATCTTGTTTTCTGCTTTTTTTCTTTTTTAAATGAGCACCTATTACTGCAGTTACTCTAGTGGAGATCCACCAATGTTAACAGAAAGGAAGCACACTAGATAAACCATCCGGTAACATTTTTGCCATCATATCTCTAGCAGGCATAGCAGTTTAAATGTCAGGACCCCTGACATTTTATCTGCACCTTTCCTTTTCACGTTTCTAGTACCAATACTTGTAGACCAGTGCTTATACAACCATATGTGCTTTTCATTTTCATGAGCTTTTGTCTAGGCCAAACTAAATGAAAATGAGAAAATTTTGCCCTAGGCAGAGCTTTATGTATGCAAGCTATACATAGGCAGCTGTTGTAGGCCCCATGGAGACAGATGTAGGTAGGCAGCTGTGAAGTCCCACATCTGGGAATCGATGCATAAAAAAAACAATGGATCTGACCCTGGGACAGACACAAGCTGTCTGTAGTGCAGAACCTAGTGTGCCAGGTCTCTAGGGCTGCTAACTCCTGAGGAGTGCTCTAACTTAACACCAGCAGATAATGGTCCCATAGTATTAGCCAGGGATTGCTCAAGCACAGAAGTGTTATTGCTGTCGCACTGCTTCCTCCTCTTCCATCTGCCACAGCCCTATGCCATGGGCTGTATAAATAGGGTGGAATGGAATCATCTACTACGGACCAGTTCCTTGTGGTACTGCCTTAAATATTATGTTGTTATACCCCCCTGCCCCTTCACCACCACCCTCCCCTCCGCTTTTTGGTCTGTATCACCAACTACCACCTTCCAAAAGCCTATTTTATAAGACTTTAATAAGCAGATGACTTGTACACTAATGTGATTCAAATATCACTGCACAGCACCATCTTGTGGTCTTCAGAACATTCGTCTTTTGCTTGTAAGTTTGAAGTATGCATTTTAGTTTGAGTAATGCTGAAAATAATTTTCATGTAAACAATCTTAGGTTTCTAAAAAAAAATTAAAACAAAAGAGATTTCCAATTACTTGGAAATATATACACTCTAAATCTCAAAACAGGACATGACAGTGTTAAGTTAAACACTCTTTTTTTATAAACCTCTATTTCTTATAGTAACTTAGATCAAACTGAATCATTTTAAATTTACTTTCCATCATTTATTTCTCATTTCATTCAGCATTAGCACTGTTACTGTCACAGTTTTACTTTCTAATCAAGTACCTTACCCATAGAGAGCATCTACATGTGAATTAATTCTGGTGTAGTTCACACTGGAGTTTATTACCCCTGCGCGCAGCATTTACATGGGCATCCAGGAATGTAGCATGATGACTTGGGGCGGTGCAGCCCTGGCTGGAAGAGGGGGAGTCAGCCTGCCACCTCATAGCTGCTCATGCCCAGCTAAACGTGCTGTGGAGGGGCTGGCTGGGGCATGAAGGTGCTACAGTGCAGAGTGGCCTGCAATGTGGAATAAAATAAAATGTGGAAAATGATAGTGACCTCATTTACAAAGTGCTTTGAGATCTACTGATGAAAAGCACTATAGAAGATCTGGCTGTGCTGTTGTTATGATTAATGAGAAACTTTTTTCCACGAGGAACTGGAAAATATAAAATGAAATCAATTTATCACCTGTTTATAGACTGCTAGGAGCCATAACCTGCATGCCTTGAAACCCAGAATGTCACCTTATCTAGTCTTACC